GTTCGTCAGCTCGTCCGTGTCCACGCTCCCCGCCCTCCGGGCTTGTGCCTCGGCTGCCTGGGCCCGCAGGTGATGGGGCATGCTGTCGGCAGCGGTCCAGCACGCGATCGGCGGGACAGCGCTGGGCGCACCGTGGCTGCTCCCCAGGGCGGCGGTCGAACCGCCCCTGGATCAAGTTTTGGCGCTGGCGGAGCCGATCGGCCCCAGCCGGCCTGCCAATGCCCCGAGCATGGTGCTCACGGCGCGAAGCAGTGCGCGCTGCAGTAGACACAAGCTGCTTCTTGGTGCAAAAAAAACCCTGGGAACCATGCCCCGCATGGATCCCATATGGCGCTTGGGTGGCTTTGGGCACTACGTCTCGCACCATTGCAGGATCGCATGAAATTTGGGCAAAATGCAGGTGATCGTAGCAGCAGGCAGAGAGTGCCCCGCACCATCCCGGCATTGCCTAGTCGGCCGAGGCAGTCTGGCGAGGCGACAACCCACCATCTGAGGGGTCGTTGTCCTGGGCGTGCCGCGCACCCTGACTTTGTCCGCGCGTGAGCCGCAGAACGGTTGTCAGAGGAGCTCAGCCTCCAGCAGCAAGCGCGGTTGCCCCCGAATCTGCTGTGCAGTTGGCCTTCAGTTCATGTGTGCAAGCGCAGCGGATGCTGCCCCCATCCGTTTTTTTCTTTTCGACGCCCATTTTGCGCTTGCCTATCCTGCCGGACGCGAAGTGCAGGTCAGCCCATGGCCGATCGACAAGCAGCTCGCCCCAGCAAACGCCAGCCCTGTCGTTGGCGTTTGGGCGTATGCCCGCATGGTTGCGAGCGACGCAAAGGCCGTCCTGCGCCGGGGCCAGCGTTCGGCCTGCAGCTGCCCGGGTTATGGGGCTTGCATTCGAGCGCGAGCCGCCGGCCCCGACCTTGAGGCCAAACGCGGCGGCAGTGTCAACTGCCTGCAGCTCGAGGTAAGCGCGGTGTTTGTGCGCGGCCGCCGAAACCAATGCCAGCCGGGCCTCATATCCGGGTATGCCAAAGCGCATGACGCGGCCATGGACACCTTCCCGCGCCTGCACCGGTGGTCTCCATGAAGAAGATGCGCAGCCTGCATGGTCTAGTACATCCTTGCCAGCGGCATTGGACTGGGCACAGTGCGCCCGCACAGCCCCGGCCGCATGGCATGGCTGCTCGATCTGGTGCGCCCCTCTGTCCCCAGTCGACGATGCAGGGCTTGGAGATTGGCCACGTGGTTGGCAGATGCGCACATCGCAGATAGCCCCGCCGCCCAGTTCCCACAAAGTCTTGCGCTCCCAGGCATGTGCTCAGGCCAGTGAATGGTTCGCGGCTTTTTTTATTGTACTCCTTTTCTCCATCGGATTTTTCCGCCCGCTCAATGTGCTTCAGTCGGTGTGGGCACTGGTGGTTCAGCGAATGAATCGCCCGCCTGGCAAGCAGGCCTGTGCGGAAGCACGTAAGTGCGTGGCCACCATGATGGTTGACTGCGCCTCCACACCCATGCAGCGGGCCGCACGTCTTCCGGCAGAGTGGCAAAAGCGGGTGCAGGCGGCGACGCAGCGCTAGTTGCATGTCTGTGAGGAAAGGGGTGATGACCGGCTCAGTCGGGAGACGTGCTTTTCTGCAAATGGCTGCCTATTCATTCCGGCTGCAGCAGACTAGGCCCGACTAGGCTCTAGGCCTGAGACTACGCGCTGACACGCGGGGCTTGAGCACGCGAAGTGCCGGCCCGCTTGCGAGCAGCCACGCGGCAGGCCTCCCTCCACCGATGGATGGGCATGCCAGCCATCGCCGCGCAGCGGGCACTTGCTCACTCGCTACGGGAACTGCGAGCCGAGCCGTTTTTGGGGGACCTGCTAGACGCTTGCGGTACGGAGCACGTTCCCAACAAGCGCCCGCCGGCGCCTGCATGGGAATTGAATGTGAATCCACGCCAACTGCACAGCTAAAACTCGTCCGAAAGCGGTTATGTGGTTGACAATGACGAACACGTTGGCGTGCGCGCTGGATATCTGGAAAGCGCACAGATTTGTTCAAACGATGACATTTCCCACGGCTTCAACTATCAAAAATGCAGCGCGTGGTCGGGTTGTCTCACATTGGCTGGGTTTTTTTTTCGCATCGAGCAGCGTCCACATCAGGGGGTCCAGCTCAAAAGCATTTACGCAAAGACAATTCTTGCAATTATGCTGTTCCCACAGCATCCACAAGGTTGCAGCTCATGATGCAGCATGTATATATTGTGTGTGTCGAATAGCGTCCACAATCCTAGCTCCAAAACATTTACTAGACAAAAAGTCATGCAAAAGAGGCAACGGGCAACCAGGCGGCGAAAGGCATCGCTGGTTCCGTCAAATGGAATGAGAGGTTTACCACGGGAAGTTCGTTTAGGGTCGGGATGTACTGGGGATCTTCGTACAAGAAGATACGACTGACCTCGGAAATTACGCACAAAACACTTGGGTGTTTAGGGGGTCTCCATTTGAACTGACGACATGACTCATGAAATGACAATATCGCATCAACCCCTTTTGGGGCATGTGTAAAACGAGCATCCGCCAGCGTATGAGTGAGTGAGAAGGCCCCGTGTACAGTGACACAAGGGCATGCCAGCCAAGGCAAAAATTCGCAACCCGCAACCTCCATTGAGAAGGAGGCAATCGCCACAAGCGTCTACATGGGGAATTGTGCGAAATTTTAAGCCCTGAATCTTGTGATGTTGTTCTCAAACTCCAGCGTCCGCAGCAGAACGGGAAATTTGCCCTTACTTTGGTTAGTCCCGGAATCATCGTCTACATGGGGATTACCATTTTTGATGCGCAAATATCCCGCTGATGTGATATCTTCCCACTGCCAGCGTCCGCAGTAGATGATGTGTATTCTCACGGAGTGTTACTTAACCGCAGCGTTTGTAAAACATATGGACTTGATAAACTAGTGCCGGAATACTTGGGTCCAGAATACGTCGGAAGTCGCAACAGCGCCATCACACAAATGCGGGCAATGAAGTTTTGCAACGCTGTCTTGAACCATAGCGAAATTCCCGATTCCTGGCACCATGCCTTGGTCATTGTTTTCTTCGAACGGGGTATGCCTCTTTGCGTGAAATTGTTCGGCCAATCCTTTCTTTGTTTTCAGTTTGCTATAAAATCATTGCAATAATCATGGTATGTCATACTGCTCCTACATTTGGCACAGACAATTTGGTTTCCACTCGAAACGCGGGACTGCGGTCTTTGCAGACGCCTCATTGCACAAACATGGGCTTCACAGGATGCTTGATTGGTTTTCTTGGCAAGTCCTAGGGCCGAGGCATTCGACAGTGTCTCGCCGAGAGATTGGTCCAGGCAGCATCCCAGTCTGGACTTCCGCGTCGTTTTTGCAATAATTGTGTTCCCCCACGGACGTATTTGCGCCTGATCCACAGACTTTTTTGGTACTTGCAACTTCCGGACGGCCCGGGCCGCAATTTTGCCCTGCAGACGAGGGACTTTACGTTGTGGAAGGCAAGCGGGTCAGTTTGGTCCCCCTAACAAGGGATCATTTTTGTACCCCCGGCCCGCACTTGGTCCGGAATGCCCTCTTGGCCCGGGACAACCCCCGCCCTGCGGTACATCCTTGCACCGGCCGGCCTCACCCCCACCGAACATCCCTGCGAATGGGAACAATGCAGGCACAACCTCGCGAAATTTGTTCACGCAAGGCCGGACATGCAATTACATGCATTGCGGGCCACCACGGCCGTCTTACACCACCATCACTGGTGCGTGGAGCGCCTAGCCACATGCCCCCCATATGGCAAAGGACCAAGCGCGAGACTGCACACGAGAGCGTGCCAAGCGCCGTGCATCGCATCTGCTGCACCACCGCGCATTTCGCTGCTCCATGCCAAGGGGCAATCCGCAATCGTCGCATGTTGGGCAGCTGAATTCAAATGCTGGGGCTGAGCAAGGTGTAAAGTCATGGGCAAATATGGGCACATGACACACGTCATGGCATGGCTGCAAGATCACAAGCATCGGCATGCAACTGGGGCTGGCAACGTGTCTCCTAGCCTGGCAGGAGCTTGGACTTGCGCAAGCGCAATCCGTTAGACGCTTCGACCTCCTCTCTGCCTGCCCTCCTCTGGTGCGCGCGCGCGCGGCGGGAGCGGGCGTGTTGTGGACGGTCCGGCGCGGGCGCAGGGCGAAGATCCACGGCGTCGGTGCCTGGTGCTGCGAGCAACAGGTCCCCCAAGTGTGCTTCCGGCAATCCCACCGGCGGCAACCCTGCTGCTTCTGCAGCTGCGCTCAGTTTGCCTTCGCCTCCCGTGGCCACGCATTGCAGCAGCTCCGCGGCTGGTGCGCATGCGCGTGCGTGGCGGGACTTGTCGCCGTACCGTCGCAGCGCGGGTCCGGCTGGCAAAGGGAACGGGCATCGCACGGTCCAGACGACCAGTCTTGTGGCTGTGGCCCTGAACCCGGACCTTGGCCTTGGAAGCCAGGACGCCATTGATTTTTAGCACAAACTTCTGCATCTGCCACCCAACCCCCAGCCCGGACTCTCCAGCTTGCTGCCTGGACGCTCCCGCAGGCAAAGTCCGGGCTGTCCCGGGGCCGTCCGGGTTGGGGGGACCAAAGCGACCCTTCCTGCGGGACCAACATGATGCAAGCCATCCAAGTTGCGGCATCACATCACCTTCCGCAACAGTCAGTGAAAGCCATGAAGCCGGGGATCAGTTTTGACATATTGACATTGATTGATGCAAAGCAGCAAACACGTTTAAGCAGATGCGTTTTATATCAAAAGAACTTATCGTTCCAGATCCAAGCTTCGGTGAGGTGTGGTCGCATGATTTGGTCGCATAAAGGCGACATAAAGGCGAAGGGCACATATGGACCTGCGCATTGGGAAAACGTCGTCCCATTTCATTTTGAACCAAGCATGCGAACCTGTTGCAAAGATCCCGTCCACGTAGTGCCGCGTGTTGCAATACCGCCCCACACCCCGCAGAACCAGAAAGTGGTGTGATGCCAACACTGCGCTTGAACGAGCGTTTGATGTCGGAGACGACATCAGCAAGCGGCAACGTTTGTGTTTTTTCCCCCACCCTGCTGTGCCGTAGCTGCAAGGTGACAAGCCGTGAGCTGTGCACACGAAAACCAAGATCAGAAATGCGTACCCGTCATGCATCCAATTGCCAGAAACATTCGGGGGAGCATAATCCTCAACTGTAACCCTATACAGACCCCGACCATTTTAACTGCACTGTACCGCCAATCTGTTTCGTGTGCACAAGCCCCTTCCGCGTTGTAAGCCCAACTCATATCCGCAGACGACGTGATAGCGTAAGGTAAAGGGGTCGTGGCACACAAAGGGTGTAAACCAGTGTCATAGCACGTGACTTGCCGTCGGACGATTGGATTTGATGACGTTGGCCCGAACATGGGCAAGATCCAGCCGGGATTCCATCTGCTGAAGTAGGTCCTACACACATGATTTCAATTCCCCCATTTTGGAATCCAACGCTTGAAAATCACCGGCCGGCCGACTTCTTGAGGAGGAAAGCGGCCATCTCTGCTGCAATACCTTCCATGGTCACAACGGTGGCCTCCAAATCGCGCATAGGTTGATACGCATCCGCCCGCTCACCATTGAGGAATGGAGTCAACTGAGAATCCGACACGTTTAGACGGGTCCATGCATTCCCGCGGATTGCCCAGGACATGCTGGACCCTGTGTGGGGGGAGCCGGAGGAGTCATCGACATTGCCTAAGTGGCTGTGCATTGATACAGAGTTGGAATTTCCGCACAATAGGGGGGTTCAGATGCACTAACTATTCACACGATCCCGCTACTTTTGGCTTGCTTGAACCTTCAATCGCCTGAGCCAAAAAATGCAATTTAGCCTTTGGCAATTGCAAGGCCAACTGTTCAAACTGCTTTCGTTTCAGACAAGCACACTCTGGCGTGAGACCTGTTGACGGCACTCCCCGCAGGGATGCCCAAAAATGGCGCGGTGGCCACAGTTCATTGTGGCAGCCGCGCTTTGTTGGTTGTGGTGGGTTGGGCGGGTTGACCCAATGCGCCGCTTCCGCACACATTTCAGTTTGTTTGCGTTGGCATTGCATCCGTATTTCAGCCGTACAAGGTCACGGGCATGTTGGTCATGGCGCGGGGCTGAGTTGCAAAAAAAATCGCTAGTTTGAAAACTCAATGGCAACCGCAATTTGTTCACATGCATTCTGCAGGCTCCGATTGGTGCACTTGCTGGCTTGGCAGCATCTCGCTGCGCAGGGAGATGGTGTCGACGAAGTTTTTAACCCTTAGTGGTACGTACAGTCATGATTCGTTACGGCTCCCGCAATTGTTTGTATGTTGTGCCGTGGCCATTGCTCATTTTGACTCAGCAGGCCAGGTCCAGCAATTGTTTCACCATGCAGCATAAAGTGGCAGCATGAAGGGCCAAGAGAAAACAGAAATCGCGCAGCTCGCTGCTGTAACAAGACCCGCTGACAATACAGGATTCGATTTTGCGGCCTCTTAGGGGTTCACGTGCTGCCCCACAACGAAGTTGCGCCATCCAATGCCATGGCACGCGTCCGCAGCTCAGGAGCACGCTGGCAGTTGACATGTCATGTCATGACATGGAGTCAGCGCGGCTGCATACATGGAATGTATTTTTGGAATCTACATTGACCTGAGGTTGGAGGATGCCTTTGCGTGCTGCTACCGTTATTGGTGAGCTCGTCTCATCACATGGGCCATTTGCAGCACCAGACTCATGGTTCACACAAGCGACATCACCACCAACACAAGGACCAACAGTCACTCGCCAGCAGATGGTGGTCTAGCATGGAAGCATCGTAGTGCTTGCAATGTGGGCCAGCATGTCAGGTCCCAAATTGAGCATTTGCGAAAGACCATTGTGAAGGATGAAATTGCAAAAACAAAGTTTGAGCTCCAAGAAACTCGGGATCACGAAGCCGTGCGAGTGATGGAAGCAGAAGCTGGACGAGTCGGACGGGATTATGGGATGCTATTGGCATGGCAAAGGCATGCACACAAAGCAAAGCCTGACGCTGTTTCGGCAAAAGATGCTGACAAGGCAAACGCCTAGCTTGTGCGTGTGATAAACAGTTTGGATGCCAGTGCTCAGGAGAGCATGGGGTAACATCATGCTCAGTATTAAGTATGAGGCCGCCGAAGCCAACCTGGGCGAACTCAAGATGCAGATGAAACAGCTCCAAGACGGCCTGGAGTATGCGATTCTTGGCCTCCTTATTGTTTCGTTTGATGGCGGGTGAATGAACCCGCGTTGAATTGTGCACATTTCTATTCATGTGCAGAGTTCGGCGAGCTTGGGCTCGCATGTTTCAATAAGCACTGGCTTCTTTGATGTTGTTATGGATGAAGCTTGGCAGTTGTAGCCGGGATATATCAAGCAAGGAATTGTTTTCTTCCCATCCTGGGCCTTCCTGTATGAGCTGGCTCCTCATGGGACGCTTTTGTCGTACAGGGCAGCGCAAGAATGCGTCTGCATACGGTTGACCCGGTTTTCGGTGCATACCTGAGGAGTATAGTATACCGAAGGAATTTGTTTGGCTGTGGGTCCTCATTTGTGATAGGTGAGGCCAGAAGGTGAAAATCCTGGAGGAAACCCAGGTTAAAGCTCACATGTGGTGAGGGTGAAATCCGCAGCGAAAGAAGAAAAAATGCGAAACATGCATATTAGTGACCGAAAGAAGACCAGTGCTGAATGCCGCCAGCTTTCCACGAGGAAGACGTATGTCAGCGATGCGGAGGCAGCAATGGAGAACCTTAAAGCGAAGATTGCCAATTCTTCATTGCCAGAGGCGGAGACTTATCCGAGCGTATATTTGGCACTTGTTATGAGAATATGCCTTGCGGCGGGTGGCAGGAGATCAAGGAGGCCAAGTACAAATATGAAGAACTCCAGAAGCATGCAACGAAGGACGGCTGTGTCTGTAGTGATACCCACCTTGGCAAGATTAATTCTTGCAGGCTATGTATCTGCCCCCATGCCATGCAGGCAACGACGAAGGAGAACGCTGCATGGAAAACCACCATGAAGCGAGAGGTTCAGCTCGGGGAAGCCAAGGAGCAGTACAACAAAGATTTGAAGCAGTTTCGTCCTTTGTATCCAGCGACTGCAAGTGCACCCAGCTTCCCAAATAATGAGAAACAGTGCGGCAACGTGCGTCCCAGGTTGGCAGCAGAAGAAACGCAAGTGCGCGGTGCGGCCAACAAGGTGCGGCGATGTTGACTCGGACTCTGTACCGTGTGTGTCTTTGACAGAAGCGCAGCTGTGACTTGCTACGGTGTTGCGCGATGTCTCCCTATCAGACTCAGCTCTTGCCAGAAGGGGCAACAGGTCTGCGTTTCAGATTGGTTCTGAGACCTAGAGTCAAAAGTGGGACGATCGTTTGTGGAGCGACCTAAGTCGGATTCACTGCAGTTGCCCTTTAGCATTGACTTGCGTTTAGGAAGCGTCACTGCCGCGAAGAAATGTCTCTGGCGTAAGGGTTCTGCGGCAAAAGCAAATGAAGAGAAAAGCTGGCCATTTATGTTGTTTTGATCTCCTCCTTGGCTCCGCTGCGGCTAATTCGTTTAGCGATCGAGCTGGGCGAGAAAACCAACAAGTTGTTGAGGCGAGAAGTTTCAGTTTCACCTGCCCTTTGCGCTGTTTCGGGCCGCCCTGGCAAACGTGGGCAAGGGACGTCATTCTGCGGGCTGGGATCTCCCCAGAGTCACCTCACCTGTGCTGGATACTGGGAACGCTGATGCTGGAAATGGCAGCTGTGGTGCACAGGCATGGTGTGCTGGAACAGACCTCCGCTAAATCCATCAACCGTAAGCCCTGACCGTGCCTGCTTTCTCTTGAAGGGATCTGCCCGCGAGATAGGAAGCTCGCTTCTTGGCAGGCTACCAGGAACTCCCCAGGAACACATGCTTGCACAAAGCAAAAAATGCAACAGCTGCTGCCGATATTGCTGCGCATGATTTCAAATTTCATGACACGTATGGCATGTGACGCATGATGCTTGCAATCATTTCAGCGGTGTCGGGCATGGGGGTCCTCTGAAAATGCAGCGCAGTGCCAGTTGAACGTTGAAACGATGCTGATCATGAGCCCCCAGCACTAATTGCGCAATGCTTGGCAGGATGGTGATGAGGCAAAACCTGCGCATCAGGATCAGCTGAGATGGAAGGTTGATATGTCGCATGTGTGCAAAGCGGCAAGGAGCCTGTCGCGGAGAGAAGCGCTTCACTCCTAAGGCACGCCCTTCTGCTCATGATCGAAACGCTGGTGGGTTGCTGGTAAGGAACCGAAATCAAGTCACCACTGTAAAGAAAGCACATTGTAATATATTATGTAACAGATACACATATTATGGTAGCTAAATGTACGTTCCGCAGCAACCCCGAAGGACATTCTGATTCTTGATAGGTCTCCTGGTTGGTTGGCAGCACTGGCTCTGAGTTTGGTAGTTGCTTGACCTTACTTCGTGGTACCTCCACGTGCGCTCCAGTAACCAAGTCTGGCAAGACGTGTCTGCCGAACAAGAGGTCTGCGGTCTGCAGAGCTCTATGCATTTTTTTTGCTGATGTGGACGGTGGGACAGTTTGGCTTTGCCAACATGGATGCCCTCATTTTTTGGCTCAAATTGTTTGTGTTGTGCTGCGTGAGATTATCAGTTGCGACTTCAGTCCAGATTTGGGCTTGGCAGCAGGCAAGACAATTGGTATGCTGGCTCGCCATCACGCAGCTGAAGCCTGTTTGTTCGTGTGCATGCAGGCTCTAGCTTGGCCATGGCCGAGAGCGTGTGGCGCTCAAACTACGTTGCCGGTAGCAAGTTGCTGGATGTCTCTGGATGCTACCACTTAGGCCGAGAAGCCAGCAGAGAAGCCTGCTGAGGCAGAGGCAGAGAAGCCTGCTGAGGCCGAGAAGCCAGCTGAGTGCGCGGACAGCCTTCGCTGCAAATGCCACATGTCTTCCGCATGGTGTGGGTGTGTGAGCTTGGCATGCCTAGGCGGCGACTCCACCAACCGAGAAGCGCAAGGCTGGTCTGCCCGAATGTGTTGCAGATTGTGCGAGGTTGTGCTTTCTTTCAGGATGGTGGTGCGGAGCCAGATGCCAAGCGCTTGAAGCCCACACCGCCAGATCCCGCAGTTGTGCGGAAGCAGGTGGGTTGCATCAAGCATGCCATTTTGCAATACCGTTGTGCCTTGGAGGTCGAGTACTACTTGAGCGATGAGAACCTCAAGTACGACAAGTTCTTCCATGACAAGATTTCAGCAAACGCTGAGGGATGGTTGGATGCTAGATGATGGTCTAGTAAAGTCTTGCTTGGATCAGGGTCTTGGTGATTGTAGAGCTTGCAAAATGAATCAAAGCATCCGGATTCCGCTTGTAGTTTCCTGACATTTTTGATCTTGACGGAGCGCCCATGCCACCGAGGATATGTCCTTCATCCTCAGCTGCAACAAAATGAAAGCCATGCGGGCTGGGAAGGCTAGACATCTCCAGCAAGCAAGTAGCTGTAAAAAGCTGTAGCGTGCTTGAAAAGGTTGTCAGGATGGGCTCGCATGTGCGCTGTTTGGCCAGGACGATGTCGTAGCGGCATTGAAGGAGTCCAAAATTGAACTCAATGAGGCGTGCTCCATGACTGCAGGCAGGCAGGCAGGTAGCTATGCAAGCCCAGTCGTGCCAGGGCAGTGCGGCAGTCCGCAGACCAGGCAACGCTCCTCTGTGGCAGCCTCAAAAGCCAGCACCAAGCTAACAGGGCACCCCCCGAAAAACTTTGCATCCAATCAGAGGCCCCATACTTTGAACAGATTGCACTGTAGGCTGCTTGTATGACAGCATGTGCGCCCTGCCATGCCTTGATCCACTGCAGCAGAGAACAAAGTGGCCCAAAGTGGCACAACCTTGTTGAGAGCTTGGAGCGACATCTCGGCAAGTGGCATGTAATGCGCTCAGGCCGAAGCTGGAATCGAGGCGTCGTGGTTTCATGTCGTTGCGTCCTGCAGTTGGGGGTGTCAGAGTAGAGAGCCAGCAGATCCAATCTGAGAAGGCCGAGTCATCCCGCGAAGAAGAACTCCATTCACGCTCATGACGGCCGCTCGTCCCCTCGTCAACAAGCAAAAACGAACCAATCGCACACGGATCTTTGTGATTGCTTGCCTGTGAGCTGGCCACGCAATGTTGTGTCAAGGCGGCGTTGTGGCCATATTCCGCAATATTCCGGAGGAGCAGCAATGGACTCACGTGAAGGCCGTGGTGCAGGCCATGTTGCCTGGGGCTCCATCACCCCCTTGCAACATTGCTCGCTCCTTCTTTCTCCAAGCCAGGAAAAGCTGCCAGCAAAAGTCAACCTGTGGCACGTCAGCCACGTGAGTGACAAGAACGACGCTGTGCTGAACATGTTTGGGCGGCATCAAGTTCCGTGTGCAGTGTTTTTGTCCGAAGAGCTTCACAAAGGAATGCTCGCTAGCCTGCGCCCCGTTCGATGGTGACGTAGCTTTTTTCGAAGGCCTCACAATTGAGCGCCTTGGCCGGAAGTTAGGTGGAATGCACGGCTGATTTTGAGATAAAGCTACACAGGCTTGGTGGTGCCACCTTGAAATGCGAAGTTTGCTTTGCGGATGTCCTGCAGAAGGCAAGTATGACCGGTACGGCAGAGTGGTTGAAGCATAGTCTCCAGCAGCTTGACAGAGGTTCTGAAGGAAATGCCGAAACATATCCGGGACAAGAGGGCGCGCAAGCTTGCTGCTGTTCTTTCATTTGGAAACAGCCTGCTCAATTGCCAGGAGCGCGAGTCGCGCAAGCGGCAGAAGGAGCGAAACCGTCCCATCAAGCTGGGCACTTGCCACTTCAACAACGTGACGATGCTGAGAGGCCGAGTGAAGGACTTTGGCCTGCAATATTTGAACATCCTGCAAAGTCATCATGGCTGTGTCTTTGGACCAAGGAAATCCTAAACTCGCGAAGCGACAATGAGCAGCTAAAGCCAGATGGAAGTGATTTCAAGCTCATCAAGAGCTTGCTTGACTACCATCCTAGCGGCCCAGGCAAGACAATCTCAAGATCATGTCAGGTTCAGCTTTGCATGTTGTGACTGCCAGGAAAAAGTGCCGGCTTGGTTGGCATCAAGGTTGGGAAGAGCCAGCAGGGTGACAGCCGCCGCTAAGCTCATGCAAGCTTTCCCTCACTTGGCCCTAGTGAGCATCTCTGAGCACCAAGGATGTTTCTACATGATCAAGGAAGGCGGCAAAGAGGAGCTTCGGAATCATGGACCTTGGGGGAATTCGGGGCCGGACCCATACCTCTAGTTGCTTAGCTAGGGATGGGACAGCCTTCCAACATGTCCTTATTCCAAGGCAAGCAATTCTGGATGCTTCCTACGCTAGCTTGCCAGGAGGATTTCAGTGCCAAGAAATGCTTGGATGCCGTTGAGCAGTGCCTAGGTTGCACAAGACACCCACAATTTTTCTTGATTCAGAGACGGCTCCCCGGGCTGATGACAAGACAAACGGAGAGTTAGCTCCCTCTGCCTAGCTCTTCCCATGATTCTTGAGGAAGCCACCCTATGTTCAGCCAGAGGAGAAGCCAGCAGGCATTGTATGCCTTCGTTAGGATGTGATGGCGATTCAGAGTAGTTGAGCTTGATTGCGTCAGGTGACAAGCGCGGTCAGGCAGCCAAGGCGGCTCCCAAAGGCGCCCTGCAATGCACTGCATGCTGAAAGCTAGTGGCTTGCGGTGTGGTGGGCAGGAGCGGCTGCAAAACCGGAGGAGACTAAGCCTGACAAGAAGGAGGATTGCCGTAAAAAAAACTGCTAGGCCTGGATTGCCTGAATGTGGTAAGTTTTTTTGCCTGGTGAAGGAGGAGAAACCTGCGGAGCCGGCAGAGAAGGCAAAGGAGACGACTGAGGAAGCTGAAGGAAAGAAGGAGGAGGACAAAGCGGAGAAGGTAGAGGAGAAGAAGTCTGACTGAGCGCGACGTTGCTGGATCCCCAAGCCAGATATTCCGCACCTTCAGAGACCTACTCTGCACCTATCAGTTGGGGGCCCGCAGCTTGCCAAAGGCCTCTTGCTGCATCTTAGCTGGCGGAGCATGTGTCCAGGATTGTTAACTCCGAATCTGTCACCAGCTTTGTCTTTGATTATTGCTAATGCATTGTTAGCTCGCCCCAGCTTTGCAGCGGGTCGCCGTCATTGTACAGATCAGGCAGCGAATCTTCTTGCCAAGGGCGAGGCATTTGACATCCATACTTTCACGACTTCATTGATAAGCAGAACCTTGGGGCTCTTATTGCGCCGGGTTCCACGCTGCATGCTGGACTTCAGTTGTGCAGCCAGCCAGCATACCTGCATGCAACTTGCTGCCATCCAGCGTGGAGCAGCTGCCCTTGGCTTTGTCCTCCGCAGAACGGGGGCCTTCATCGCAAGACGCCTTCTTCCAAGGTGCTGATGTTGCAACATGTGTCCTCCTGACACCGAGCAGGAACCTGGGAGGCTTTTGTGGAATCTGCTTGCAACTTGTTTCTTATTTATTAGGCCCTTGCGGTCACTGAATCATCACGCAACCTGTCATGCTTTACCGTGTCCACGGGCTTCAGTAGCAACGTGTGGTTCCACCTCATCAGCAAAAGCTGATGCTTTTGCAAGCTTGGACTTGTGCAGACAAAAAAAGGGATCTTTAGGATCTTTATACCTGAAGAAGTCCACATGCCGTGTACATGCACATCACAGCGGAATTGCAGTCTCTGGGCAGCTGGCTCGCAGTCTGGGTGGAAAGGTTGACCTTGGCTTTTACTTTTTGTGGGCTCCAAACCCGCAGATCACCACGAGCAGAAAACACAAAGAATCGACCGTGCAGGCTGCAAACAGTGTAGAGGGCTTGGACATTGCATGTTCTTGGCTGCCGTGCAGCGCCTGATCCCTGGTTGTGCGTCAACTGCAGATGCTAGATGTGGTGAGACCTTCGGTCTGATGTGACATGCATCAGGCCAATGCAGCCCTCGGCAGAGGTCCGGCTGCTGTGTGAACCAAGATTGGACATTGTTTCCGAGAAAGTCTGCTAACATGGCTGCTTGTGGGAGGCTGACGACGCATGGAGACCAGCCGTCCGCAGCTTAATGCTGCATGCTGTGCCAAGAACGGAACACAGCAGCTTTGTGCTGAAAGGTGGACGACAGGGTGTTTGCCTGGTTTTACACAGAGCCCTGAACCCATCGTCTTCAAGCAGTCTCCTCCCTATCTAGACGGCTGACAGCGATTGGCCTTCAATCCTCAGGTGGCACACCGCCAAAGCTCAGACCTCACATGGCCTTGTGGTAGAGCCTCGTGCTATCCCTCGCGAGTATAGCATGAGAAGTTCCAAGGTGCGAAGACTGTTCACGCATGAGGGGATTGAAAAGGCAAAGGACTCAATTGCGCACGCGTATCTCATACCCAATGCGCCCATATACCTCACAACGCATGGCACGAGTGCTCAGGCTGAAGTGCTTTGGGAGACGGAGTTCTCAACCAGTCCGCTTGCCAGCATACATGCCTGAAGGTTCGCATATGTTCGTACCAGAGCTGGTCACTGTCAGGCGAGCTGTCGCTGAGCTGGCTGGCACCCATTCCCGGGATGTGCCCCCGCCTAGATGATCTTCAGCATGCGCTGTGCGGTTTTGGTAGAACTGTGGTATTTAATTGCAGCCCTTATGAATTTGAGGAACTGGCGTTGTTGTGAAGTTGCAAATGCTGGGCTTTTTGTGTGCCCATCCTACCCTCCGAATCGATTTCCCAGATTTCCAAAATCGAGTACTTTGCATGTTGCAGGCTAACATCAGAATGTCTGATCCTCTGGAACTCAGATGATGGTCTGAAGCACGCAAGAGCCGCAAGAACCATAGCACGCAGTTTTTCAACACCAAGATAAGTAACTGGTGACTGTTCCGAACTGATGGTTTGGTGGGTTGGGGGAGCAGAGAAACCGCCAGCGCATACCGCAGTGGCAGGCAGCTCTTTTGCATGCAGCTGGCAGGCCTCAGACACAAAGCACAGCGAGCGGCACAGGCTTGTGACTTGTGATCCTTGCATTCAGACGACTGTGAGCTTGGTCTCAAGCGGCAATGGTCAACTCGAGGCGATGCTACCCTGCCTGTCCCGGGCCCGCCTGGGATCCAGAGTCTCGGTGACCTGTGTGGAGATGTGCATTATTGTGCTGATGCGGTCTCGTTCTGGCTCAGGCCCCCACAAGCAGGCTTCCAGGAAGTTCATGCTGGCTATGTCGGCTATGGAGGCTATGTGCCAGTTCAGGCTGGCCAAGCTAGATGTTACGTGCATTGTGTGGTGAAGTGTGAGCAAATGAGTGCGAGCAGTTGCAAGCAGCATTTAGTGTGCAGGCAGGAGGCCCCCAGGCTGAGCCTCCTGGTCTTGAAAGCCCACTGCTCAGAATGCTCAGATCTCTCATGAGATCTTGTGCAGTATGTGCTCTCTTGCAGCATTTGGCAAGAAAGGCGCCTCTTTTCTTTTTGAGGTTCGCCTAAAGAGTTGCGACCCTCTGTGTCGAGCTCAGTGGCCCCGGTGCCAGTCATGCGTTGTGTCGTGGTCACGCAGTGTAACTACGAAGTTTACGGCGTCACGACAGATCTCTGCTCCTAGACCTCAGTGCAAATTACCGAGAATCAAAAAATACTCTGTTGGAGGTGAACGTGCCCCCTGCAATGCCTCCGCCACCGTGACTCTGCCGCAATAGAATTCAGCACAAAGAGCTAGACAGGACGTCCGAATGCTGGCCATGCCTTCAATCGATCCAAACCTAACTTAGTAGGGCGAGCTTCGCTTCGGGCATTTGATTTGGTGCGAGATTTCTGGCTTACGAAGGCTTGCAGCTCATGCGCGATTTATGGTGTGTCTAAGCCGCGAGGGCGCCCCACTCCGTAACGGCAAGCGTGGGGCTCGGCACAGGGACTATCGCACGGAAGTCAGCATGGTGTAGGATGTGCGGTGCTTTTTGACTGGATTGTGGCTGATAATCCGCCTGGCAGGTGCAGCGCCACCGGGAATAGCACAACCGCAACCGGGGGCGCCGCCAACAGCACCTCCAGCGTATGCACCTGCTAGCTATGCTCCGCTTGTAGCTCAAGCTGCTTGCCCTGCAGAAACTGCACGTGCGGCGGGAGCTGCGCCACCCGCGCCAGCTACACATACCACAAACACCACAGCCACCACGCCAGCCGTGCCAACTGTGCCGGCTGCACAGACTGCGCCTGCTGGAAGCTCAGATGGGCATGTCCTTCTTAAAGGATTGGCAGCAAAAGCCTGCAAGCAAAGGTTGTGGCTGCAGCCAGAAAAGCAAAGTCAAGCGACTCCCAGCGTCGGGATCCCGGTGCGTGTACAACTTGCGGGTATTTTGTTGAGTGATGTCCCGTTGCTAGTGCCAGACCTAGTAAATCGGCATTGAGTTCAGGTTCATCTGAGCAGCCCATAGAACAGCAACTGCAAGACTTCTGCGATAAATGGGGGCCTCAGCCTCAGAGGGCTCAGCTGACCGTTGCGCATGCCTTGTCGGGCTCTGAGGTTTCAAGAAAACACGCGCAGATACCTGGCAGGCCTTCCAGCAAAAGTCCAGAAGGCTCCCGGGCTTTAGAAGGTTTTGGCCCGTGCCAGCATCAGATAGGCAGGCCTGTTGCGAGAGCAGTAGTACAGTAGCGCCTCCCGACCCTTTCAGGACAAGGCATGCTGGGACTGTAGGAACGGCTGCTGCAAGACCAAGGTTGTGATAACCAACTTTGATGCACCACCTACTGTACAGTGCCTGGCACTCGTCACACCATGGTCGCAACAGATCACGCCTTCCGGTCTCATGCAGATATCTGAGGTGTAGATGCTCTGGTGCACAACTATGCAAAGAGCATCCTGCTCAAAAGTGGCTATGTCCGCACCCTAGCAAGTTGTCCGAGATGAACGACTCAGCACCTTCATAGCCTTCACCCCAGTTGACGAACTGCACACCTTTTCAGGAAGAGCTGGACATGGATTGCTTCGTTGCGCGATGGTCCTTCCGCCATCCTGTGCTGTGGCTTGAGATTTGCAAGGGACCGCACGTTAAGTACTTAAAGCAGTGGCAGTGCCGGCAAGGACAGGATTTTATCAATTGGAGTGTTGTGAGCTTGAGATCTTGCCAAATCAAAGGTGCATAGTTCATTGCACTTTCCTAAACGTCAATTCCGCGCAGCTCTGTGTTGTGTTGGAGGTTGTTTGTTACTTCTGCCTGGGGAATTCCATGTCCAGGATCTGATTTGTACGCTTAAGCATGCTCTCAAATGCGATGCTTGGCCTGTTTGGCAATTGAGCGCTCGTACTTTTGCAGAGTGGACGGCCTGTCGTATTGTCGCTGCCTCTGGCTTCAAGTATTAGTCGAGATGTTAAGACCCTCAGGACAGAGGCGCCGTGAGAAGGATGCTAGCTGTATAACCCCTGGTGTGTCAGTAGATTTTCCTGTCTAAGCATGCCGTGCTGCAGAAGCAGCTTGTAGGATTGAGTGGGTCAGCTAGTCGCCCTATCTTGCCATCCTGCTATCTCGCTCCATGGCAAGGCGCACGATTTGCAATGCTGGCCATGCATGTAGGGGAAAGTGGCCACAGCTAGTGCTTGGTTGTCATGTTGGCTGTTTGGATTCTGGGGCTGTAGGAGGAACATGGTCCTTTCAGCGAACTG